AACATTCTACCCAAACTATCTTTAAGTATTTCCACCCGTGGCTTGAATTTGTTTTTCAACTCCTTCAGCTTAAGAAACGCTGAGCGAGTCTGGCCCTTTTGATTTTCTGACTCCAGCTCTCTGCACATTTCATCATAGTATCTTGCTTTGTCGTCCAGAGCTGCCTTTTGAAATTTTCTATTCAGCTCTTTGATTTCTTGATTTCTTCCTTTAGCTTTGGCTTCTTGGCACTCTAATGTAATACTCAGAGTCTCATCTGACATCCATCTTGGTCTTTTCTTCTTTAGCCTTTGTAATGATCTTTTGCATTCTTATAGAGAACAAATCTGAATCTTGCCCTATCGTGCACTGTCTTTGTCCTTATGTAAGAAGTGTCTCAAGTCTTCATCACTTTTAGCAAGTAGTTCTGTGTTATGTGCATAATGCAGGATGTTGATGAATCTTCTTCCCACCCTTATACCATCTTCTTTTTTATTTAGTCCAGCTTTCTGAATTATTTACTCAGTATACAGATCGAATAGGCATGGAGAAAGGTTTCAACCTTGATGTATACCCTTTCTGATTTTAAACCATTCTGTGTTTTCTTACTCTGTTTGGACAACTGTTTCTTGGGATATATACAGTTTTGAATGAGCACAATGAAGTATTCTATAATTTCTGGTCTTCTCAATGTTATCCATAATTTGTTATGATCCACATAGACAAATATCTTTGCATAGTCATTAAAACACCAGTAAATGTCTTTTTAATAGTCTTTTTTATTAAAAATTCTGTTTTCTTCTCATGTTCCTTCATTGACATTTTGTTGATTCCTATAATCATTCTCCTATGTTGTGTTTTATAAAATTAATCACCATTAGTCTAAACCCACCATTACTTTGTCTTTTCAGGTCTCCATCTGATCTTGCCCATTTTCTTTACCGCCCCCCACCCCCAACAAATTGAGCAACCTTGTAATGAATTTGCCTGACTCATACTCATCCTTCTGCTTCCACTTCTTATCCCCTTGGATTCCCATATATGTTTTACTAGTTATTCTTGTTTTTATAATAATGGCCTTATGTAGTATTTGTCCTTATGAGACTGAGTTCACTCGGCTCTTAGTTCACTCATAATGCTCTTCAGTCTCTCCCAACTTATGTAGTTCCTTTTTATATCATTGCTCCTGAGTGCTGCATAGTGTTCTATTCTGTGAATGTACCATAATTTCTTAATCTATTCAGTTGTGATTGGATGTTTGTGCTGTATCCATGTTCCTGAGATGGTGAATAATGCTGTTATGAATACTGGTGTAGAAATCTCTGTTTGTGTCTGGGTTCTTATTTCCTTGGGATATATTCCTATGAACCTGGAGAAAGGATGAAAGCTATACAAGTGTTCAAGTCTTTTGTTCAAAGGGTCGCTATGAGTTACCTACTGTTCGATGACACTTAACAACAACAACAACAACATATTCCTAGAAGTAGTGGAATAGATGGGCTATATAAAATTTCTATGTTCAGTTTTTTGCAGAAATGCCAAACTGCTTTCTAGAGTGGTTGTACCATTTTATGATTTCACAACAGGACATGAGATGATAGTTCTCACTTCTCTACATCCTCTCCAACAATTATTGCTTGCTGCCCTGCTAAACCTTGCCATTGCTACTGGGGTGAGATGGATGGTATCTCATTGTGGTTTTAATTTGCATCTCTCTTATTGCCAGTGGTTTTGAGCATTTATTTATTGTCTGTTGAACATTCAAATATCCTGTCCTTTGCCCATTTTGTAATTGGGTTGTCAGTTGTTTCCTTGTGGAGGCCCAGTAGCATTCTGTAAACATTTGTTATGAGACCTTTGTCTGAGATGGTATAGCCCAAAGTTTTTTCCTAGTCAGAAGGTTTTCTTTTCACCCTACTGAAAAAAGGCTTTGATGCGCACAGGGATTTACTCTTTAGAAGGTTCCATTCATCCATTTTCCCCCCTTTCTCTCCAGATTGTACATTTCTGGCTGTATTTGTCAGCCTCTTTATTTGTCAACCATAGCCTAGGGCTTCTAAGCTTGGTCCCAGTTTGTCTCTCATAAACTTTAAGGTTTTAGGCTTTACTCCCAAGTGCCTAATCCACCTTAGTTTATTTTTGTGTAAGATATGAGAATGTGTATCTGTGTTTCATTGATTATGCAAAGGCGTTTGACTGTGTGGATCATAACAAACTGTGACTGACTCTGAGAAGAATGGGAATCCCAGAACATTTAATCGTGCTAATGCAAAACCTAT